GCGGTGCGCGGGCGAAGCGATGGTCTTGTGCAATGTCCGTCATGTTCGCGACGGCGGTCGAATTGCCGAATGCGTGATCCACTCCACGATCCTCCACATTGTACTCGGGTGGTTCAATTTTTCGCTGGATTGGTGCTAAAGGTTGGGAAAGGGTCGGAGGTGAACACTACATTTTGTAGGATGTGCGTCATCATACGCACTTGGCATTTGTATGCAAGCATACGGACCATTTTGGCCCGCTGCGATTTCACATATGGACGACGTGCATCGAGCCCTCAAATTCATGATTTCGTTGACCGGAAACGAGGCAATTTGACATCTGACCTTGTTCAAGGATCCTTTCATCAGGCGCTGAACGCAACACGAGGAGCAGCGCTGTGTCGAGGGCGATGGATGGTGACAATGATACGATCAGCGCAGAGACATGTGAGATCGATCGAGCAAAGCCGACCAACGGAGCGGTACAACCGTGTGGAATTGCCCGCGTTTCACAAAACTGTGGCCTTCAGCTGGTCGAAGCATGCATGGTGGGGCGGACACAGTGGTGTTTCGTCGGTGAACTCATTCTGCCCATTGTGTACAAATTTCGTGGACATGGTTGGGCGGATCGCCATCCTCCCGAGTCTACCATTTTGACGGACTCTACTAGAGAGGGCCTTTGGCCGACCAGAAGCTCGCCATGGGTGCAACCTCGGGGCGACAACAGAAGTGGTTGTTATGCGAGAAAAAGAGGATCTCATGTTGCGTGAAGCCGCATGGAGAAAGTCCCGGCGGTGGCGGCATGGCATGGTCGAAACCAAAGGACGAGATTGATCTCTATTTCACTTGAACCGGGGAATCGTCGATGGAGGTACTGCACGCGTCACTGGCCCGACGTGGTGAGATTCATTCGTCGCCAGTGCTGCCACGTAAGCTCGCCTGGACTCATGAACTGCCCGTCTGCACCCAAAGACTACAAGTCATCCACGTCCAAACCTACGGCGGTCCATCCTCTGGCGGCAGGGATGCCCTCCCTCTTGCATCTTGAATGCTCTTCGTACGACCCACCATCCTAGTTTTGAAATTGCACTGCACCCAGTCCTTTCGTCTCCACATCACACATGGGGCCAAGCCGTGCCACCGCCGTGGTTACTGTCACAAAGTCGCCCATGTCCTCTCATCCCTTCGATGTTGTCGCCCCGGGGAGGTTTTGATGGAATCAATGGCCCGCCAATGCACACGACAGAGGCCAGGTATGGCAAGTGTCCCCACTGCCTGCAGGAGGCGGCCCGACGACAAACCTGCCCCGAGCACGGCATTGTCGGGACGAGCTGTAGCCTTCGTGGAGGGGGGTTGCAACGTCGAAGCGCCGGCTGAACTCGAGTCCCTTCATATACCGTCTAGTGTATATTATTCCAGACACCCAGGGGACATTTGTCCGACGTTCACCAATTGACACTACCGAAAACCATTCAAAATGATGGCAACAGACGAGTCACTCCAAACGCCAGTAACCCACGACACAATCGTAGATCGAGAGGGACCACGATGCAACAACTTCGACCAGGCGACTTTCGTCTTGCGAGGACTGCACTTGTATCGTCAGCCATGGCTTGGAAAGTGAGCCTACGGACGCGCCTCATCTACGCGCGCCAAATAACCTTCGAAAATTAAATGCACCTCTATCCATTAATATATAATGTGATTATACAGTGTTTATTAGATATAAGAGGTTCGTTAAGGCACGAAGGGGCATTTGTGCAAGTTGATATTTCTTACAAGACAAAATATATTTATTCACTGTCAAGGAGGTGTCCTGAATATAAAAGGTGTCTTGAATAATACTAGTCCGTTCCTCTTTAAGTGGAAGAGCCAGTTCGATATCATTGAGCAAATTATGACAGTACTCAGATGACCTTGAAACTAATGGCCTTTTATAATTGATATACGTTATATTTCGATAATTG